AATAAAGAACGAACTAGGAACATGGAATGAATCACAGCATTGACATTTCCGAGTCTGGACTCGGAGTCTTAAAGATTTTGGCGACTGCGAGTCAGAATCTGGTTTAAACTGCACGCTCCAACCGAGTCTGACCTCACAGACATTCTCAGAAAGGTACCCCCATTTTTTCCCGACTCCAAAATCTCATCGGATCTGTATCGATCTCAGGGGGTGCCCGGTCCGAGGTTGGGGGGGGGGGGCAAGCTGCCCCGCTTGCCCCCCGTGGCGACGCTAATGACCTAGTACCACTAAGTTTACTACCACTAAGTTAGTCAACTACCACTAAGTTTTTATTGAACCTTCTCAAATTAGGAAGTTAAAGGTAGACTGCCACCTTTTTTCACAAAACGGTTTTCACTAGAGCTGAGCCACCTATGTCCCAGGCTGAAGTCGGTTTTCCGAAATTCGAACCCGTTTGCGAGAAATCGGAGACCAAAGTTCAGTTTGATGCCATTTTTTAGTCCAAGAAAACCGACATCTCTACTGTTTATCGATAACTTTGAAACATGAATTTTCTTATCTTTTGGTAAATATATGTCAAAACTTTGATTGTTTCGAGATCAGAGAAGAATTTTGGAGTGTCAAAATAAAAGTTAAACTTATATATTCAGTAGTTCATTTTTTCCAAAAAGTGTGGGAAATGGGGTTTAACATGGGCCAGACCCATTCCAAATGAGCCATGATTTTTAAATGTTTTACGAACTTAAATGCAAAATAAATTAAACATGGCCAATTTCTTATGAAAGCATATATTAGTAAATCATAAAATACCTTACTTTTTCAAATAAAATGTAATAATCTTATGACCTTGAAGTCTAGTGATGTGTAAACATTGTCGCTAGACATTAACCGATTGATAATTGTATGATAATCGACAATTTTTCCGCGATTCACGTGATGATACTTTGTCAGGTGAATTCTAAAATTTTGTTTTGTCCAGGGAATAAATCATAGGCCGATCTGAGAAAACTTTTTGAAGGTGGCAGTCTTCCTTTAATATGACTCAAAGTTTTTCCCATGCAACTGTCCCTTAACACCCCACTGTCCCTTAACACCCCATTTTACGGTATATATTTTGTCTGTATATTTTTTCATCTACATTTTTTTGTCTGAACATTTTTTGTCATATTTTTTCGTCAAATAAATTTTGTCTGTGCAGTGTGCACCCACTGTTAAGTGTTACCTAACTCCAAGGTTAAGTGAAAACATACTACCTATTTAACGGTTTCTTATCTGTTCTCCAGGTGCCTGCAGCGTGAACATTAAATTGTCTAAGTAACAACAATCCAGGGAAGCCATGAGCCGCAAGCGGTTTATTGACAAGGACAAGTCGGTGACATTCCAACTGGTACACCGCTCCCAAAGGGATCCTCTGGTTGCCGACCCTTCTGCGCCGCAGCGAGTTCTCCTTGAAGTTGAGGACCCGAAAGCCGATGCTAAGCTTTCACAGCGAGAACAGCAGATGAAGTATGGCATATACTTCGATGACGACTACAACTATCTCCAACATATCAAACCATCCAGAAAGCAGGATGTCGTTTGGCTCGAATCCGCGTCCGCTGCAAAGAGGAAAAAGAAGAGGCACGCTGCGTCGCTACCTCAGGAGGAGGGAGCCGATGCTGATGCCGATGCCGCCGTCGCCGCCGCCGCCCCAGGGCCGTCGCTGCAGCTGCCTTCGTCTGTGTTCGCCTCGCACGTGGAGGAAGATGTCGGTCTGTTGAACAGGGCGGCGCCGGACTATGGCCCTCCCGCCGAGATCGAGTCCGAACTGGCCGAGGTGATGGACGACGACTTCACCCCGGGACCTGAAGATGAGCTGGAAGACAACTTCTTCGAGCTGGCAGGAGGACTTGCCTCGGACAATGAGAGCGAAGAGGAAATCGAATTTGAAGTGTCTGACGATGAGCAGTTGGACTCTGATGATGACTTTGACGAGGAAGCGATGCTTCGTTTGATGAAGAAGCCTCAGGCTAGGTCGCAGTTCACTGAGTACTCCACGACCAGTCAGGGCGTTCTCAGCACCGTCGCCATGGAGGCTCTCAACGAGAGGTTCGAGAACTTCATGGGCCAGTATGAAGATCTAGAGGTTGGTGGCCTCGAAACAGAAGAGATCGCTGGTGCTCTGGATCCGAACTCGGATCGTCTTCTTGCACTCGCTGATGAATTTCAAAAAGCAAAGGAGAAACCGACTATCGAAAAAGATGTCGATCTTCGCGAATACGAAGAAGACGAGGAAAAAGATGATATGGTGTCTATCACTGTGTATGAAAATGCCAAAGAAGACCGGATGGACTGTGAGAGCATCCTGTCTACCTATTCTAACACGAGAAATAGACCCAAGCTCATTGATGCACCCAATAACTCGAAGATATTGATCGACAAAAAGGGCATGGCCAAAGACGACAAGCCTAAGCTGACCAAGAAGGCGCTGGCGCAGCTGGACGCCGGGGCCGGCGATGGCTCGGACGACTCGGACATGGGCTCCGAGTCGTCGTTCGGCAACGAGACGCTGGCTAGCCGTATATCGATGCTGTCAGTTCGCCACGACGGGGAAACGCCGGAGGAAAGGAAGGCCAGGAAGCACGAGCTGAAGGCGCTCCGCAGAGAGCGCATCCAGGAGAGAAAAGCTAACCAGCAGCTGACGAAGATTTTGTCGCAGAGGCAGAGTCAGAGCCAGACAGACAAGCTGAAGGCAAAACAGGCTATTCGGTATCAGTGAGACCATGGAGAGTTTCGTCATTGCAAAAGTTGTGGACTGGTGGTGCATTGTAAGTGTGGTTCTCCTAAATGTGTGTAGTCTTATTCTTCGGGGTAGGATGTGCATTGTGCCGGTTGTGGCATCGTGAACTGCCTGTGTCTTGATAAACCCTGGGGTTTCGCAAGTGCTTCAGACATTCAATGAGCGTTATTGTGATCGAGTGACATTTGATGATGTGAGAGTATGAAAGGTGTTTTACCGTCAGCCCAACAATGTAGGAGAATGCAGGCGTATACGATTGCTACTGAAGATTGCGCTGTATGCATATTTTGCTTGCATATGTCAGCCGTCGCTCGTGCACGAAATTTCGAAAGTTTGTATGTTGATGAGTGTGTGTGCCTATATGATAATCTACACTGATACATATAAACATTTTCACTTTTGTTTGTGTGTGATGTTCGCAAAGAAATAGTTAAATGGCATGCCAAAATACTATTGGAACGTTATAGTCTGCGTTTGCCGTAGATCATGCATATTAGTCGATTATAAGTTCTGATTCTGGACTCAACTCGTGGGTGACCCGGGAAGGTGGGTCTCGGACGCTGCGTGGCCGCAGAGGGGGCGTACCAAGATAATATAAAGACTTGGGTAGGTACCTAATAATTTCCTAATAACTTTCGGCTTCGGTTGCGGTAATATCTAACACAAACATTTTTTTTTTTGCTCGGTCGGCCTAGTGCCATGTCACATTAAAAGCTATTTATGTAGTTTTTTATCTACTTGAGAAAAACAACAAACATTCGTGAATGATTGTCGGGCACTAAGTGAAACCAGCAACGTTCGGCGCTCGAAGTTTTGTGACTATGACGTCATAGGCCCAATTAACTGTCTTTTTTCGTTTATTTTTACCGGATCCTTGAAACACGTGACATTTGATACGGGAGAGCATGTTTATTAATCCCACCCAGAAATGACAAACAAAGCCTCTGATTGGCCAGTTTTGGCTGACAGACGCAGAATATTTGTCAGCAATAGAATACTATGCTTTAGCACGTTTTCAATAATGACGCATCCGTTACATTTACAGGTTAGGGCAGCTAAAATATTGTAATGGATCTAACATGTTAAATATAACATTTTTGGAAGCCCGTACAGATTGTTTGTAGTGAGTTAGGTGTTACAAAGTATTAAAAGAAATGATTGTTATCTGTTAAATAAAGAAAAAAAGCTTTTAGCTACTAACATCCGCCTGACAGTCTCCAGAATCCTGCGTACGGGGACACCGCAGTCTCTGTTTATGTTATCGCAATGGGGAAAAATTGAAATTTTAAATGAGTCAGTATCGTGTTAAGAAGTACTGATGCTTTCAAAACTAAATGCCTTTCAACTCAAATTCCAGAATATCCTTTCGCGGAAATAGCCCTTCTCAGCCTGTCTCTAACGCTACAAGTCTGAACAGTGAGCGTCTCATGCGTTGCTCACGTATTGCGATAAAAAGGACGGTGTCATATAATCAAATGAACTTTTCTTATGCATAGAGCATTTGAAACCTTACACCAAACGCCTCCCTTCCTTGTTTTCCACTGCTGCCTTTCACATACCTTACCTAGTACCGGTGTAAGGTGACCGTTCCAGCTCGACGTTCCTTATCGACTGCCTCACATTCAACGGCCATATCCCACCTACGCTGAAAACCAATCGGAGGCACTTTCAATCGTCCCTTGAATATATATATATATATATATTGAGACGGGTTACACAGCACATTGGGTGGACGCGTTTCGTCTAAATGACTTTTTCGACACCCTCTCGGAAATTAAAACAATACAAACGTGTTTGTATTGTTTTAATTTCCGAGAGGGTGTCGAAAAAGTCATTTAGACGAAACGCGTCCACCCAATGTGCTGTGTAACCCGTCTCAATATATATATTTGTCTATTACTACTCAACGTCCCTTGAATAAAATTGCTACCTACACGCATTTAGAGGAGAACGAGGCCCAGAAAAGGCGTGCATAAAACGATCGGTTTCGGCCCCCATGGAATAAGCCAGGAGGTAAAATCATATTGATTGAAGAACATTTTCGAGGACATGATATCTATCAGATATTATTTTGCAAAGGTATTGTGAACATAACGTCCGCGTATCGCAGCTCTGAATCTGCTGGTCAGTCCCATGCAGCAGCCACCGGACCACTGCCCCGCCGCCTGCCGTTCGCTGATCATACAGGCCGGCTGTCCCAGTGTCTCATCAAACGATCACAGCTGACTCATTATTTATAAAATGCCAAACAAAAACAGACACCCAATATTATAGATCACGCCAGCTCTTTCAGTCATGCGCGTGGAGATATATCCGTAGTTTTCCTATCACAGATCACACTGAACAGAGGAAAAGCGTACACACGCAGCAATAAATAATGCATTATCAAGTACACCGATCGATGCATCGTGGAATATACCGAAAAAATACATCACTGCTTTAACGTTCCCCAGGTGGGTGGTGGGTGGGCCGTGGGGGCGTTTTTGGCCACACCTGACAATTTTGTGCTTGCATAGATAAAACGACACGAAACTTAGTATAGCTTATGTATAATGCATCGATTCGCATCAATTGTGAAAAAAGTAACCCCATGTCACCTAAGGTCAGGTCAGGTCACCATGAAGTAGAAGTTTGAAACTCGAGCTATTGCATGAGAGAATCAGTACCAACATCTTGAATATCTTTAATTTTGATATCGGTGGTGACAAGGGTCAGGTCAACTTTGCGACGTCTCCAGTTTCAGTCAGTATGAGGAACTCGAAATGTTCTGCTTTTGAAACAAAAGCACTCAAACATCGGGATCTATCGTATGCTCCTGAGGTCATCTCAGGTCATGTAACGCCTCCCAACAGTTTATTTTTGTACATCAATTTTAGATGGAACGTGGCCAGAGCGCTAAAAGCATCATAATCATAGGCGGCGGAACAGGCCGAGGGCACCGGGGCACCGTGCCCCCTTTGATTTTGGCATTTTAACATTAGCCCTATGGGTGTTGCATGGAAAGAATGAGACCAAAAGTCGGCAATGCCCCCTTAATTGAAGATGTTCCGCCGCTACTGATGTTAATCTCAATTTCAATGTAACGAATCAATGACATGCAAAATGGCATTTTCTGCGACATTGACCTGAGGTCAAATTTATTAAGCTGACCTTGTTAGGCCAAGAAGACGAGAGAAACGCAGTGCCGGTAAAATCAACGTAATAAAAGGTTGGTATCAGTTAAAAAAAAATAAAAATAAAGAAAAGACGACTTCCGAAGCAAGCCGATTGTTCAGTTTTTGCCCTTTGGAGGCTTAACCCTAGTTGACCTTAGCTCAAATCTGAGAACCTGAAAGATTTTCGAAAGAGCTATCGAATTCGCTTTTCCGCGGCGCTGTAGCTTCTTTGGTTCCCGAATTATGAACCAATTTGTGAAGTTGTCAAAATCGGGGGCCAAAATTCGTCATCATTTTACTTTTACTTTTACAATTACGTCATCATTTTCATTTTACATTTACTCCAGTGACCTCAGCGATGACCTGATCAAAAATGACCTGTATGATTCTGAAGAAAAATAGCGATCTATAGATTGATTTTACTGCGTCTTTCCAGCTTTGCTACATTCCCAGATAACCTGGTGTGGCCGAATACACCTCCCCCCCCCTCCCCCCACCAAGTTGGCTGAGGGCCACCCGGGCGCGGGTTAATAACATGGCGCAACAGGTTTTGTTATCAACTTGTCCTTTTCACACATAGGCGACACTAGATATCACAGCCAACGCCTATCACCAAACTGGTTGTGGGCTTTGGCCAGCGATCGCCGATCCGGGCCAACGCGGGCTCTTACTCGTCCACAATCAGCAAGAATGATGAACTACAGCTGCTCCAGACCGGCCAATACAATCCAGCGTGTAATCTTCAGTCCACATCAGAACTAGAGTTGCAAAATTTCCCTACCGCACTACCGGCATGCCGGTAATTTTTCACTACCGCAGGTTTTTTCGTGGTATCTGGCATGTCTTGCCGGTAGCATGCCGGTATTTTTGATTTTGCACAAAAAATTATCAGCATATGATTCAAACTTTGGACACTAAGAGGCTATTGAATTGTAATAAGTTGGACAATGGGTGGCTGTTGGGTGGGGCGGTTACTGAAATTGCCAAAATGTGGCATCTCATGTAGGGGTAAGCCAGAATCAATAATGCAGGTTTTTTTAGTATGCCGGTAATTTGGCGGTTTTTTTTGCTTGAGGCGTGGTAGCATGCCGGTATCCCAGAAAATGTTTGTGGGGCGGGGCGGTGCCGGTAGCAGCCCATTGGGAAAACTTTGCAACTCTAATCAGAACCACTAGTGAAACTCTACTGAGTGGGCCAACTGCACTGCATCTTTGACCTCCTTTGCAGCTCTGGCCTTTCAGAATTTGAACAGCCTTCTCCTTCCCACCCTTCTGTGCTGATGAATGATGATCCTTTGGAAACCTGGAAAAAGACAGTACAGACTCAGGGAGATGAAACTGTTTTGCTATGGGTCTGTTCCAGTCGCACTTTCTAACACATCTAAACTCCTCAAAGAGCAAGATAGAGGTTGGAGCAGGGCCCTTCTTGGCTTTGTAGGGGCGAAAGCTGCCACTGGAACAGGGAAGCAATCTTGGAGGAGTTAAGAGGTGTTAGGAAGTGCGACTGGAACAGACCCTATGACAATGTCTGTGCATAGAGCAAGCAGATGGTAGAAGTGGTCAATTGGTGAGTGGAACAAATGCAAATGTCAGGAAAGCAGTCATATTTTGTGATAGACATGATGCAGATGTTGGCCAAGCTGACAAGGCAGATATAATTACCAGCTTGTTATACTAGTCTATAACTCATCATATTTTCATGTTTAACAGAGGGAATATAATGTAAAAAAGCCTTAGCCAGATGAAAGTAGATAATATAAGTTCTATAGAAAAATGTTTATGTAAGTAATGTAGGATTTGTGGTTTTTAGAGGCTAGGTAAATGTGTTCCCTGTTCAACAATTCTTCAGCATTCAGACATTGATGTCAATGTACAATGTACATGCATCAACATACCTGTTGTGAAGTGATTCTGGGCTGCTTTCCTGAGCAGTTGATGGCCACCACTGGAATCTTAAAAACACAGCTAATTTTTTTTTTCCATTTTGTTAACTATCACTGAGGATCTTCTGTGCTGAAAGAGAGATAGACAATAGACATCAGCTGATAGACATTGTACAATGTACAACTCATTTGTGAAACAAGATCAATTCCATTTAGGGGTAGGTCGTAGGATAATAGTGACATGAATGAATTTCAGTTTTCACTTTTCACCAGTCCAGGTACCTGGTGACAAAATGAAATATTGTAGGAGGTATCAATGATAATGTTTCTGGTAGAAAATGCAGGCATTTCAGAATTCAGTTGAAGCTTTAGATGGAGGATTTTTGGAAAATATTTGCCGCAAATAACATTGGAATCTCAGAAACAAAAATCAAATCTTACTTGATGTCAAAAACAAATCAAACTATTACCATTGAGCACCAAGCAGCATGCTGAGTAGTCATTTGCTAAGACATATGCATGTTACACATGGCTACAGTACTTTGAAATAGCTTTTATAAAATGTGTGCACTCATGTAATCTTAACATGTAAAATGTCAGCTAAAACTTGTTTTACACTAAACCTGCTAAGCCAAGAAAAAAGATAAATATGAGAAGCCCAAAACAAGTTATTGAAAACATAAACACAGGTCACGTTACAACAAAACTGAGTCAAAACACTCAAAACTAAGTGTTTCAATGAATGCAAGATTAATGCGTGTCACAGAAGCAGCTGTCCACTGTAAAGCAGAGTGGGCACAGCATGGTGAAAGCAGGAAGTGGTGCACAAAACTGAATTAAGAAGAGTGCCCGACTAACTGTATCTACATCCCTTTACATGTAGGTACTTACAAAATTTGAGCACAATCAGCCAAAACTTAACTGTGAAGGAGGCCATGCCCACTCGCACATGAGAGGTGTGCAAAACCATGCCTGTAATACCTTATGCCTAGATACATAAAGATGAAAATGTGTTGTGTCTGTGTGCCTGGTTAGTGGCATGACGTGACATGACTATTATCAATACCTGACAGTACAATTATCATGATATTATCATTATTGCAATTGTAATAAAAAATGATCAATTGAACTTTTCTTCTCACTTTAGGTATATAGCCAAAATACCTGAGATTTTTTAATATCAAGTTTGCGTACTCCAAAATCGTAACTTCTGCTTCCTCCAGTACTTCATAAGTTTGCGCAAGACTATTATCCATTAGATGTAGGGACGATCATGACCACTTAACTAAAAAATGGTTCACTTGGTTCTTACAAGCCTGTTAACTCACTACACAAGGGGAGGGGGCACTGCAAAAGGGTGTGGAAATCGCCACATTTGTCTCATGATGTTTGATGCATAATAATCGGTATCAAAATATCGTCGTATTAGTATGCAAGGTCACCAAAGAATGAGCCAACGTTATTTATCAAATAACAAAGCAAATTGGCAATATCTAGCACAACGAAACACATAATTCACCACCTAACGATGCCGGCCGAGTCCCCGATACCACCATGGCGACCGCTCAAGTCCAACTGGCCGGCAACTGGCCAATCAGGGAGCTTGTTTGTCATTTCTGGGTGGGATTAAAAAACATGCACGCGGAGAACGCGCGTGTGTGTGTGCAAGGCCGCCTTGGCAAGGCCTGTGTGTGATGTAACGGAAGTTGGCACAGATTCAGCACAGATTCAGCACAGCACAGATTCGGTAGGGGGAAAAAAAGCCCCGGTAGAGGGAAACCTTTATGACCCGTTTTCCCCTAGAAATGACGTCACAAAGAGGTAAAAATGGGCATCAAACGAAAGCTCTCGTTTACCCAGACACAGTCCTGCAGGAAAATTTCACTTTTTCCCCATAGGAAAGTTTGTACGGGAAAATCAAAATTTTGGGTCAATGGGGGGTCCCCCCCGATTTCGTTCAAAATCGGCACACAGGTGCCCCACCACCAGCCGAGAAACTTTCCCCAAAACGGTCCCCGTTGCATTGACGTTTAAGGCCCGTAAAGCCCCCTAGACTCGTAAAATATCCGTAAAATCGCCTTTGTACGGACAAAAAAGTGGTGCTATGGTAAAAATGGGTATCAATCGAAAGCTCTCGTTTACCCAGAAACAGTCCTGCAGGAAAATTTCACTTTTTCCCCATAGGAAAGTTTGTACGGGAAAATCAAAATTTTGGGTCAATGGGTGGTCCCCCCCGATTTCGTTCAAAATCGGCACACAGGTGCCCCACCACCAGCCGAGAAACTTTCCCCAAAACGGTCCCCGTTGCATTGACGTTTAAGGCCCGTAAAGCCCCCTAGACTCGTAAAATATCCGTAAAATCGCCTTTGTACGGACAAAAAAGTGGCGCTATGGTAAAAATGGGTATCAATCGAAAGCTCTCGTTTACCCAGACACAGTCCTGCAGGAAAATTCCACTTTTTCCCCATAGGAAAGTTTGTACGGGAAAATCAAAATTTTGGGTCAATGGGGGGTCCCCCCCGATTTCGTTCAAAATCGGCACACAGGTGCCCCACCACCAGCCGAGAAACTTTCCCCAAAACGGTCCCCGTTGCATTGACGTTTAAGGCCCGTAAAGCCCCCTAGACTCGTAAAATATCCGTAAAATCGCCTTTGTACGGACAAAAAAGTGGTGCTATGGTAAAAATGGGTATCAATCGAAAGCTCTCGTTTACCCAGACACAGTCCTGCAGGAAAATTTCACTTTTTCCCCATAGGAAAGTTTGTACGGGAAAATCAAAATTTTGGGTCAATGGGGGGTCCCCCCCGATTTCGTTCAAAATCGGCACACAGGTGCCCCACCACCAGCCGAGAAACTTTCCCCAAAACGGTCCCCGTTGCATTGACGTTTAAGGCCCGTAAAGCCCCCTAGACTCGTAAAATATCCGTAAAATCGCCTTTGTACGGACAAAAAAGTGGTGCTATGGTAAAAATGGGTATCAATCGAAAGCTCTCGTTTACCCAGACACAGTCCTGCAGGAAAATTTCACTTTTTCCCCATAGGAAAGTTTGTACGGGAAAATCAAAATTTTGGGTCAATGGGGGGTCCCCCCCGATTTCGTTCAAAATCGGCACACAGGTGCCCCACCACCAGCCGAGAAACTTTCCCCAAAACGGTCCCCGTTGCATTGACGTTTAAGGCCCGTAAAGCCCCCTAGACTCGTAAAATATCCGTAAAATCGCCTTTGTACGGACAAAAAAGTGGTGCTATGGTAAAAATGGGTATCAATCGAAAGCTCTCGTTTACCCAGACACAGTCCTGCAGGAAAATTTCACTTTTTCCCCATAGGAAAGTTTGTACGGGAAAATCAAAATTTTGGGTCAATGGGGGGTCCCCCCCGATTTCGTTCAAAATCGGCACACAGGTGCCCCACCACCAGCCGAGAAACTTTCCCCAAAACGGTCCCCGTTGCATTGACGTTTAAGGCCCGTAAAGCCCCCTAGACTCGTAAAATATCCGTAAAATCGCCTTTGTACGGACAAAAAAGTGGTGCTATGGTAAAAATGGGTATCAATCGAAAGCTCTCGTTTACCCAGACACAGTCCTGCAGGAAAATTTCACTTTTTCCCCATAGGAAAGTTTGTACGGGAAAATCAAAATTTTGGGTCAATGGGGGGTCCCCCCCGATTTCGTTCAAAATCGTCACACAGTTGCCCCACCACCAGCCAAGAAACTTTCCCCAAAACGGTCCCCGTTGCATTGACGTTTAAGGCCCGTAAAGCCCCCTAGACTCGTAAAATATCCGTAAAATCGCCTTTGTACGGACAAAAAAGTGGTGCTATGGTAAAAATGGGTATCAATCGAAAGCTCTCGTTTACCCAGACACAGTCCTGCAGGAAAATTCCACTTTTTCCCCATAGGAAAGTTTGTACGGGAAAATCAAAATTTTGGGTCAATGGGGGGTCCCCCCCGATTTCGTTCAAAATCGGCACACAGGTGCCCCACCACCAGCCGAGAAACTTTCCCCAAAACGGTCCCCGTTGCATTAACGTTTAAGGCCCGTAAAGCCCCCTAGACTCGTAAAATATCCGTAAAATCGCCTTTGTACGGACAAAAAAGTGGTGCTATGGTAAAAATGGGTATCAATCGAAAGCTTTCGTTTACCCAGACACAGTCCTGCAGGAAAATTTCACTTTTTCCCCATAGGAAAGTTTGTACGGGAAAATCAAAATTTTGGGTCAATGGGGGGTCCCCCCCCCCGATTTCGTTCAAAATCGGCACACAGGTGCCCCACCACCAGCCGAGAAACTTTCCCCAAAACGGTCCCCGTTGCATTGACGTTTAAGGCCCGTAAAGCCCCCTAGACTCGTAAAATATCCGTAAAATCGCCTTTGTACGGACAAAAAGTGGTGCTATGGTAAAAATGGGTATCAATCGAAAGCTCTCGTTTACCCAGACACAGTCCTGCAGGAAAATTTCACTTTTTCCAAATTTTGATTTTCCCGTACAAACTTTCCTATGGGGAAAAAGTGGAATTTTCCTGCAGGACTGTGTCTGGGTAAACGAGAGCTTTCGATTGATACCCATTTTTACCATAGCACCACTTTTTTGTCCGTACAAAGGCGATTTTACGGATATTTTACGAGTCTAGGGGGCTTTACGGGCCTTAAACGTCAATGCAACGGGGACCGTTTTGGGGAAAGTTTCTCGGCTGGTGGTGGGGCACCTGTGTGCCGATTTTGAACGAAATCGGGGGAGACCCCCCCATTGACCCAAAATTTTGATTTTCCCGTACAAACTTTCCTATGGGGAAAAAGTGGAATTTTCCTGCAGGACTGTGTCTGGGTAAACGAGAGCTTTCGATTGATACCCATTTTTACCATAGCACCACTTTTTTTGTCCGTACAAAGGCGATTTTACGGATATTTTACGAGTCTAGGGGGCTTTACGGGCCTTAAACGTCAATGCAACGGGGACCGTTTTGGGGAAAGTTTCTCGGCTGGTGGTGGGGCACCTGTGTGCCGATTTTGAACGAAATCGGGGGGGACCCCCATTGACCCAAAATTTTGATTTTCCCGTACAAACTTTCCTATGGGGAAAAAGTGAAATTTTCCTGCAGGACTGTGTCTGGGTAAACGAGAGCTTTCGATTGATACCCATTTTTACCATAGCACCACTTTTTGTCCGTACAAAGGCGATTTTACGGATATTTTACGAGTCTAGGGGGCTTTACGGGCCTTAAACGTCAATGCAACGGGGACCGTTTTGGGGAAAGTTTCTCGGCTGGTGGTGGGGCACCTGTGTGCCGATTTTGAACGAAATCGGGGGGGACCCCCCATTGACCCAAAATTTTGATTTTCCCGTACAAACTTTCCTATGGGGAAAAAGTGGAATTTTCCTGCAGGACTGTGTCTGGGTAAACGAGAGCTTTCGATTGATACCCATTTTTACCATAGCACCACTTTTTTGTCCGTACCAAGGCGATTTTACGGATATTTTACGAGTCTAGGGGGCTTTACGGGCCTTAAACGTCAATGCAACGGGGACCGTTTTGGGGAAAGTTTCTCGGCTGGTGGTGGGGCACCTGTGTGCCGATTTTGAACGAAATCGGGGGAGACCCCCCCATTGACCCAAAATTTTGATTTTCCCGTACAAACTTTCCTATGGGGAAAAAGTGGAATTTTCCTGCAGGACTGTGTCTGGGTAAACGAGAGCTTTCGATTGATACCCATTTTTACCATAGCACCACTTTTTGTCCGTACAAAGGCGATTTTACGGATATTTTACGAGTCTAGGGGGCTTTACGGGCCTTAAACGTCAATGCAACGGGGACCGTTTTGGGGAAGTTTCTCGGCTGGTGGTGGGGCACCTGTGTGCCGATTTTGAACGAAATCGGGGGGGACCCCCCATTGACCCAAAATTTTGATTTTCCCGTACAAACTTTCCTATGGGGAAAAAGTGGAATTTTCCTGCAGGACTGTGTCTGGGTAAACGAGAGCTTTCGATTGATACCCATTTTTACCATAGCACCACTTTTTTGTCCGTACCAAGGCGATTTTACGGATATTTTACGAGTCTAGGGGGCTTTACGGGCCTTAAACGTCAATGCAACGGGGACCGTTTTGGGGAAAGTTTCTCGGCTGGTGGTGGGGCACCTGTGTGCCGATTTTGAACGAAATCGGGGGGGACCCCCCATTGACCCAAAATTTTGATTTTCCCGTACAAACTTTCCTATGGGGAAAAAGTGGAATTTTCCTGCAGGACTGTGTCTGGGTAAACGAGAGCTTTCGATTGATACCCATTTTTACCATAGCACCACTTTTTTGTCCGTACAAAGGCGATTTTACGGATATTTTACGAGTCTAGGGGGCTTTACGGGCCTTAAACGTCAATGCAACGGGGACCGTTTTGGGGAAAGTTTCTCGGCTGGTGGTGGGGCACCTGTGTGCCGATTTTGAACGAAATCGGGGGGGACCCCCCATTGACCCAAAATTTTGATTTTCCCGTACAAACTTTCCTATAGGGAAAAAAGTGAAATTTTCCTGCAGGACTGTGTCTGGGTAAACGAGAGCTTTCGATTGATACCCATTTTTACCATAGCACCACTTTTTTGTCCGTACAAAGGCGATTTTACGGATATTTTACGAGTCTAGGGGGCTTTACGGGCCTTAAACGTCAAT